GAAATGTGTCAGCTTTGTTGTTTACTGATTTATGTAGTAGATTTTTTGTTTACTGTGTTGCTACGAAAATTCTATGAGTTTGCTACATAAATAAAAGTGTACGATCCAATGAAATGGTTACAAATATGATTATGTATTTATTTTTTTGTACATTTTGTTCTAATAATTTATGTAATATTATGGGTGGCATTAATTTAGAAATTAAAAATAATAATATTTCACTTTGACTCATAAAACTGGTTAAATCAGAGGTAATGTTTATTCATTTTTTTTCTTGTTTAACTCGTTTGGAAAGGTAACGAAAAGTGATTTTAAATTAAAAGTAATTTTTGACCTTTAGTGATGGTCGACCTGGTGTGAAACCTTTATGACTAGTATTTTTGTCAGCAAGTTTCTAGAAGACTGATATCCAGTTCAATTTAAAATTAATTTACTATTGATCTTATAGACATTGATTTACGATTAAAGGCATTGTTGAGGGACCAATGCTTTAATTCAATACCGAACCTATGGATGTATTTATAACTTATTTTTACTTTACTTATAACTTTATTTCTTTACACTAATTACTACTTTAGATTGATATTTCATATAAAAAATATATCAGATACATCGTACGTCTAACGTCAGTAACCTGATAAATTCCTTTAATGTGGCACGTCCACCTTCACCATGATGAACCGTTTAGAAAGAACGGATTCCCAATCGATTCGCTATGATCTTCGTGTTTTCTGAATACAAACTAGGGTCAGGTTTGCGTGGTCCGACAACAATAGTGTTAAATGCATGCTTCCATCAATCAGTGTATCTACTTACTTTATATCTACTGATGTTCATGTACAGTCAATGTTTAAGTTTTGTGCTTCCTGTTATACGTGTTGTGTTTGACATTCCTGGTAATTTTTTTATTATTCATTTGAGTACTAGAATTCTAGAAGATTTTACGATTTTAAATAACTATGTATCACTTAACGGATAGAACACATCAAGTGTAAGTTTTTTTTTAGAATTCGAGTAGACTTTTTAAGGGTTGAAATGAAATAATGGCAGAGTGAAATATTGTTATAAGAAGATAAAAAATGTAGGCTAACTAGGGTAAAGAAAACTAAAAGTTCCTATTTTCTGACATGATGTTGATGTGAACTGTACAAGTAGGTAAACCTGTTGCATGTAGGTTAAGTCATGGGTGATTGTTTGACTTAAACTGATGGTAAATTGTCTATAGAATTTGTTAAGTAGGTTTTTGATATGCACGCAGCATTCCTAACGACTTGCAGTATTCTTTTTACTGACGATGTTAACATACAATAGACTTGTATTGGCTTAAGATACTTTGGTACCATTTTTTTCTTTGGGAATGATGGGTGCCGGTTTGGCCATGGGGCTGCAGAGAACTTGGCGTGTTACCGAGGTTCCTGCTCAAAGCAGGAGTAGGAATGGTGTAGTGTCTAGTCAGTAAGGGTCTGACAGTCCTGCTCGAGTCTCGACTCACCTAAGACGGGATAAGTCATTAGATGATTTTACTCCCTCAAAATAAAATTACCTCGCCTGATGGTAAGTGATGATGCGGCCTTCTATAGGGCAAATATACACGTTATCAAATATAACTGTAAGTGAAGGACAGCTGAAGGCAGGAAAATATATGGTTTCCTATTTAAACCGACATTCTTTAAAAGTCACGAAAGTAGTTCTACAAATAAATAAAAAAATCCAAGATAAATCTGTTAATCTGATTCTTAATTAACTTGTTTCCTCTATCAATTTCTCGTTTTGCTATAAAAATACTTAAATTCTCTTAAATATAATAATATGGCGCCGTTTGTTGTATTTATCTATGAACGTAGTAAAATATAAATACCTAAACGATGCCACAGAAGCGAACAAATAAAAATTAATTGTAGCTATAAAATTTTAAAATGTATTTGCATACGTGAATATTAGATAGTTTTATTTTCGTTATATTTATGGTAGATAGGTATGAGTTTTATGCATGGAGTTTGTAATCTGGTTTTAATGGTTTCATAAACCAAGGGATTTTAAGAAACATGTAACTGTCCTAACCTTTTTGGTGTTGTATTTTTGTATTGTAATTACGATATTTTAGGAAAAAAAAACAACTGGACATAATTATGATTGTATTTCGAACAATAAATAATAGCTGAATTTGGATTTTTTGGATGTTTACCTATATTTTTACGCGAAAATGCCTTTCCAATCTATATATATTTCATAATAAATTTTTCACATATTCCTAAATGGCATTCTTGTTCTCTACCCTGTCAATAGAACAATCACAAGATACGCAACCTACGTCTAAAAACAAAACACTCAATTATCATTGAGGATCCATAAATAATAATTGTCAAGTTGACACGACATCTCCATTGTCTCTAGCAGGCTTCACACCGTCGGGTCACGACTTCGAATCAGGAGCAAAGCGTGAGTCGTATTAGCAACTCGTAACATGTTCGACATGGCCATAGTTTGCGCACGCGCATACAAAGCGGGCTAGTTTGAATTATTCCTAGATTTACATACAATTTCTGGCGGATTCGTCACTATGTACCGTGTTTTGATCGATGGTAATTAGATTCAGATCAATAAACTTTTGGTTCAGATACCCTTGGTAAACTTAAAGAAATGGGTAAGTTCTTAATTGATTGCACGATTGGTGCGGTGGCTGGGCAAGCGGCTGCCACGCAACCTGTCGCGGGTTCGATTCTCGCACGGAACAACTCTTTATGTAATCCACAAATTGTTGTTTCGGGTCTGGGTATTATGTGTATGTAAACTTGTATGTTTGTAAACGCACCCACGACACAGGAGAAAATTCTAGTGTGGGGCAACGTTTTTTTAAACTTAAAACAAAAATCTTAATAAACCCTGTAATAGACCGGAAATCTTCTTACTACTATTAAAAGCTTTAAACATGCTATCCAAACAGTTGGAAAACGTAATTCTCAATTGGAGTATGTACTATTCCCAAGCCGTGGCTCTATCCAAGAAATTAATGTTACACTAACGAGGTTAACTCAGAATGCAACAAAACCTGCAATAATGTAACACCTACACCTTTACATAGAATTACATAACAATGAGTACAAGTAGTCGTTGCACCCACACCCAAGTCAACATCTTCGAACTACAGACAACAAGGCCATGTTACATCGAATGGTATCAACATCTCACCTTACTACGAACACGGAATCAACCCGACTAGTCGTGGGAACCGCGCCGACAATGCGACCGCCAGACACTGCGACACAATAGTCTTGTGGCCAAAAAACAGGTTAATTTTTATAACCGTTCTATATTTTCTATAGAAGATTGCTCAGTAATGCGTTCAATAAAGTTGCAAATAATGAAGATGATGTAGATGAATCATATTCGGAAGTAGGACAGTTTTATAAATGTAACAAAGATATAAATTGTGGTTGAATTGAGAGCAGTTCTGAGAGACTGGTAAGTGGTGGTTGAAGAGGTCATTAGTTACAGTTCGAGGGTCAAGAAAGTGTTTATGAGACAATTGAATTGAAAAGATGAGAAAAACAACTTGATATTGAATTCTAAACACCTTAAGACTGATGGACATAGTATAAATGAATGAACGGGATCTTGAACAGAAAAGCATTTTTAAGGGCACTTTGGGGTTAAAATTACCAATTATCTGAACCAATTTCGAGTCGTTAATTTGGTTAAAATTGGAAACATGTACCGTTATAAAATTTAATTGGTAGATTTAAATCATTCACCTCGTTCTCAATAATTCATTTGATAACAAATACACCACATTGATCATTAACACGCTTGCAGTACAACAAATATCAATGTTATTGTTTTACGTGCGCATACACAGCTCTTAAAATCAATGTCAATTAGTATGGCCCACTGGACCTTGTCTCAACTACACTGAGTTTCTTTATTTTCCTGTTTCTTGTGAATATTGTGATTCAGTTGTTGAAGGCAATGAAATGTAAGGTTTGTTATGATTACGGTCATTATGCAATTTATGTTGTACTTTTGAGCATATAATTTATAGTATTCGTTTAAGACGAATATTGTATCCTTTTAAAACTAAATATATTAATTCTCAGTGGTAGCACGGAGTCTGGATTTCTGCCCGGTATATGGCAATAGGCTCACCCCCTATTACATCTGACTCTTAACATGAAATAGTGAAAGTGGATGTTACATGGTACAGTGGCATTAATTGCCGTAATGTGCACCTCTGCCTACCTGATAATTTATGAGTAATGCTAGTAAAATCACTGGCTTCGGTAGCTGTAGTTCGTTCTGTTTGTTGTGCTGGATCATAATACAAGAATGTTTGCGACTTAAGTATATTTAAAGATTGTTTGTTGTCAAGCAATAAAAGGTAGCGCAATAGATTAATGTCGAGGTGCTGTGAAACTTACATTAAAAGTTTTTTTGCAATATCTTTCTTACTAATCCTACAGTTGTTAAAGACAAATGCTTTAATATAATAGGTTGCACGATTGCAGAATTAAAGACAATAAATACGATCAGTTATCTGCACAATGATGTCGGATGAGATATTGAAGGTTGCCGGAGTTGGGCATTGCGGAACTGCTAGTGACATGAGAAAGGCATTAGTACGGGGCTCAGTTCCAAACGATCGTGGTTCGGCAATTAGTTACGTGTGACGTTGACTTATATTGTGAAACAAGGTTATAGATATAGGTTTGTAGACGTGTTTATATTGTGGAGATCATGGGATATTTTGTACCCTTAAAGAGTGAAAAGGATAAATAAACTTTTGTTTGGTAGAGATGCAATGCGGTGCCTACATAATAAACTATTCCATCTGCTTTTCCTTAGCGGCTTTCAATATTAATTGCTAAATAAAATCTGTCAAAGAATTTTAACAGCTTGTACTTAGTACCCAGCTTCCGTCGTTTATACCAAAAGACAAAAGACTGTAAGAAAACAATAGGAACGTATACCAATAAATATGTGTTAATTTAATGTTATGTACTCACAGTGTTGGTTGGTAGTACTCTCGCTGGCAGCGCGCGTTGTACTTCAGGTGACGCGGATCGCTCGCGCTCGCGCATTTCCGCGCATAATGCCGCACGCGCAGCCCGTGCGCCTGCCTCCAGGCAACCGCTGGACTTGCTCCTGCGTATACGAGATTTTTTTAAGAAAACTACTTGGACGATAATGTAAAGAAAAAAATATGAATGATGCGAAAGGAAAAGGAGTTTGAGACGTGATGACATCAGGTAAGGGAGATTAAAGAAGGAGTCGTATTTGGCCCACCCTAAGTAACCTTAAAATAAGAATAAAAAGATGATAGTAGGCTAAAATAGAAAGACGTATTACTGCCTTTCTTCTAAGTTAAGTAAATGGCGATACGCATAAATAACCAAATCAAAATTATTAAAACACAAACTAGCCCAGGTCACTAGTATCCTACTATACCTGACGGGCCTGTCGATGGGTCCGAGCATGGACAGCGGCTGTTCTGCGGCGGGAGCAGGAGGCAGGTACATCACGTGCCCACCCCATGATAAGTACGAGTTACCAGGCCGCCACGTGCCCAGCTCCTCCTGGATAAGAAAAGAGGATTTTAATAAAATCATTTATGAAAATGTAGTGGCAACTTAAAAATTACTGAGACTATTAGGCCGAAAACATCGTAAGGTACTGTAAATGATTCTTTGATAAGCCTGATTTTATTGTCACTTAGCCTACCTACAGAATTTGAAGTGATGATAAAGAATAAAATGATAGCCAATCATTATGTATCCTAAACGATAGTGTGTTCGTTTACTGTCAAGGAATTACTCTAGTCTCAGACGTAGATAGGCCCTAAAGAGCAAACAAAGAGTAGTAAAAACGAATGGCTGACTGGCCACCGAACACATTCAGTAGAAATTAAGCAAATTATTTATGATCAACATCCGTCTGCTGTAAATACAACACTTTGTTGTAAAATATTGAATTATTTTTGAATATTTCAGAGCTACTGAAGTTTGTTAAAACAATAGGAAAATTACAATACGAACACAGTTAAAATAAATTATAACTGAAGTGCTTCAGAAGCATGATTGTTGAAGAGACGTCAAGTGTGAAGATGGCTACTGATTTATGCAAAAACAGTTGTGTACATGTGGTAGCTAATTCTTCTTTTACGATTTCCCTTATTATACTAGCTTTTATATTTATGAAAGGTAATAATTTATATCTGTATAGGTTGAAATTATTAAACCAACTTCATTCACCGTTACAGATTACTGAAATATGTTTAAGTTTACTACTTCGACTCTAAAAGCTTACCTTCTCCGAAGCTGGTAAGGATTCCTCTTTAATAGCATCTTCTTCAGAACCCTTCGCCCTCGCAGGTGGTTGGAACATCAGTGGATTGGTCAAGGAATTAGGCGCAGACTTCGTTAGGAACCAGTTCTGTTCCGGCTCTTGTAACATCGGTTCATGTTCCAAGTCGAACCTTCTAGATCCTAAAGCTGCTCCTAAGGCACCAGATACCGACTTCCGAAGTTTCTGGAGACTGTTGAAGCCTTGCTGTAACTGTTTGCCCTGGAAGCAATCGTAGAAGCACGACATCGCTTTAAACTACGCGAAGAGTGTTGTGATCAGTCACATGGAGAGCTGATGAGGAATAAAGGTGGTACGAAAGGAAATCGCAGAGAATACGAGGCAAAGGATAGGAAGAGAAGGGGTATTGGAATCATAGACTTAATAGGAAGCAAAATGCTTTATATAACAAAGGAAGGGTCTTATGAATAAAAATTTAATAAGTAAACTGAAGAAGTAAATATTGGGTACATCTTAAAGCTACATAAATACCACCATTGCTAAGCTTAATAATTGTAGAACTGAGTGCAGTACCAGTACAATCGTTATAGAAAGCTCTTAGACCAACATCATTAACACAACAACACATTAAAACAAAATATTACAGTTCCCATCACCTCCATTTCTGCCCAGCACCATATCAAGGGTTTAGATAATGTAAGTACCTTTACTCCTCGTCAGCGACCGCGGGAGGTCAGGGGAGTGATTAGTTTGTTAGTCACCATGTTACTCTAGAATTACTACAACATTCGTTATCCAAATGTGAGGGACCAAACTGTGGAGCAATGAGATCTTAGTCATACGTAGTACATTACATACTTAAACTTGATCCTTTTAATTTTTTTTCAAGTATTTTGGAAAATGTAATGGTTTTTGAATTACAAGCAGTAGCAAGCGTTTCTTTCTTTTTCGTGAACCTAATCATGATCTAAATCTTAGTTGGTATTATTTATATATTTAAAAATGTTATATATTTATTTCATGAAATTATTAAGTTCTTTGCATTAAGATCACATGTCTTCCTATTGGTCAAAAATTACATAGTCCTCGCCTAACATCCCGCGGGTCCTGTCTCGGTACTCACTCGGTCTTGCTGATCCCTGGGCAGTGACAGGCTGAAGGGCTGGTGTCCTGGACTGTAGGTGGCAAGGCCAGCTCCTAGTAAGGCAACTCCACCACCTGCTCCATCCGAACTGCTATCACCCAGGTCTTGCTGTGGTGTCCAGGCTGCCGGACTTGAGTCTTGCGCCTGGGAAGCACAGATAGTTAATAAAAATGGAAAAAATGTAACGATGATAATGACTTACCTAGTATTGTTTTAATTTTCTGTCGTAAATTCTTACATGATGTCTAGATGGTGAGTCTATCCTGTGATCTGAATGCGCATGATCTCCTGAGATGCCTGAGTCTCCAGATTTGTCGGCCGACTGGTCTGACCGGGGTGACGACTCAGCCGATATGTCGCCTGCCATCTTTGTTTCGACAGCTAACGGTTGAGTTTCTGTTGTATATAAAAAAGTAAGATTGGAAGCATTGACATTATCACTAAACAACACTTTCGATTATAACACCAAATATTCAGATAGAGGAGTGTACCTGCGGCGAGATGATCATCTAATGATGCTAGCTGTCTCCAGGCTGCTGCAGGAGAGAATCGTGGCACAGCACGCTGCTTTTTGGGTAGTGTGGGTCGCAGGCGTAGCGCGATACCCAATGAACCTTCTGAACATGAGCCCTCTGAGCCTTCTGAAGATAGTGCAGATTCCGATGATACTGCGTAGATGGATAAATTATGTATTAACAAAGGAATATAGTTTAATTATTATCAAAGTTATAATGACTTTAGTTATGAATATTACATACAATTCTTAACTTTAGTCTCTTCTTTTATCTTGGCATTAAATTTGTCAAATTCCGCGTCTTCTTCATGATAGTTGAGCAGTTTTTGTTCTATGAGGTGGAAGTTCGAAATTTCCTCGATGATAGGGCTACCCAGTCCTGGGAAGTCCTTCAGATGCTCGTGTGTGTTGGTCTGCTTGCTCTCTATCATACCGAAGTAAAACTGCTTCGATGGAGCTTGTTGTTTTGTCCTGAAAAATATAAAATTACTGTTTTAAAAGTTCGGATTGTTAAGGGTAAAATATTTTTTTCACTTCCGGTTAAATTAGGTTAAGCAAATGAATGTTATTCAACTTACTTTTCTTGAGGTGGGTTTATCAAGGAGTCCAACTTCCTAGTGGGTGAATGTTCAGGTGTGGACTCCTTCCCGGAGGCCTGCCCTCTGTCCGGCATTGGGCGGCTGTTCTCCTTGCTGCTCACTTTGTATTTGTTGTCTGATGTCTTGGCATTAATGTTGTTATTCGCCTGTCTAGTTTTATCCTCGTTAGCTCGACCTAGAGGCCTCCTACTGACGACCTTAGTGTCTGGCTTGTTGGCAGCACTTGTTAGACTAGACTTTTTGACTTTATTCGGTATTTTCGTTGGGCTCTTCTGCTCTTTCTTCTCTTGACTAGTTTTGGTTTCACTATCATTAATTTTACTGCCTAATTGATTTCTAATTCTACTCGTAGCCTTTTTGAGTTCCGCTTGAAATTCATCTTTTTCTTCATTATTTTTTAACAATAGTGAAGGAAGAGATTTTCTCAATGGTTTGCTGGTCTCCGCCAGGGGGCTCAGCTTGCTCCCCCGGAGTTGTTCGCCGATGGCTTTCATCCTGCTCTCATGGACCGCTCTAGAGGGTTCGTTTTCTCTTTCACTTGCCATTAGAGTTTCATCGAAGGTCCTCTCTCTTCTGAGCGTGGGCAGTTCATTGTCATCTTTCTTGAACCTCTCGGAGTACCTGAAATTCCTGTTTAGTAGTGGCGTCTTCCACGCTTCGCTTTGTTCGGTCTTGGACGTCTTCGCTCGACACCCGCTCATCCTGTCTATCCTCGTCTTCCTGTAGTCCTGTTTCGTTTGTATGAGTCGTTCCTCTCTCTTGAGTGAGGCGGTGCTCTGCACCATGTCCTGGTTGTCAGGATACTTGAAGTGTTGTTCCTTATCTTTACATGGCGACCGATATCGTCGTTCAAAAGCTGCATTATCGGTCATATCGAGTGACTTGTATTCGTGATATGAATTTCTGAACTGCAAATTGTCTTGGCCGTTCAGTTTTTTGGTTTCGTTTCTAGTTTTGAACAGTCTTAGTTTCCTCTGGGGTTCAGGTCTAGTGTTTCCTTCGCTGGAATCAGGCGACGAACCTTCGAAGTTCTGTGAACAATGCGTTGTCTATAAACAATATGATTGGAAACATGTTCTTGAGTTATTGTTTAAGTTTCCTCGTTACTTACGTCGTTGGTGGGAGGAGGAGGTGCTCTGTACTTTTTCCGGAAGTGTTTATTTCCATTTCTCGTTTTCTGTTCTTCTTCTATTCTTAGATCCGGTTCAGATCCAAATCGTTTGTTTATACTGCTGCCTGAAATTACAAAATTTACGATTAAAGAGATGTTTTTTTGGACAACGTTTACTATTAACGGTAACTATTGTGGAGATCGATATGAGGTACTCACTATCATGTCGTAGCTCGAGGTTGGTGTGTGACCTGTGCAGCGGGTCCCGCTCCCTGGAGCGTATCTCACTGCCATCACCCGAGGTACCGGCTGACCGTGACCGGTACACATTCGCGTGCTGAAACATTGCACCAAAAATATGATTAGTTTGCTTTCTCAAAATCAACACATATACCTACATCATGTTTGATCACACTTTATGAACCCAATAATTCCTATCGTGTACAGGATTCATGAGCCATTGAAAAAGCATAATATGTATTAAGTTTGCCTATTTTTCTAAGAATGAAATATCTTTAACGTCTAATTTCCTCACCACATGTCCGTGTGGCACATTTTCATGTAAAGTGTTGGGTCTCCTGCCGCTGATGGTGCCGCCTGAATGCAGGATCGCACCGTTGTCCGTGCTGCGCAAGCGCGGCGACTCGCATAGAGTGGGTAGCACCTGAATTAAAATATAAGATAAAACTATTACTTGTCATCAATAATCGCTAGATTATCATCTTAGTTTGACGTTATACAGTGTCTAGTCTAGACAAATAAATTAACTACTGAAGGGATACGGTTCTCATAAGGGGATATATGGTTTCGGTAAAGGTTTATGTTCTACTAAGACTCAAGGTGGGATTGGAAAGCATGTTTAACAAATAAATGAGGGGTTAGCTACCTTAGGCGCGAGCCGGGGCGGGTCGTGCGGCAGGGTGTGCGCGCGGCGGCCGCGCTGCGGCGGCGGCGCGTGGCTGCCGGCCTGGCCCATGCCGCGCCTCTCCTACACACACATCTGAAACAAATAATAATACATCGATTAATTAAATATTATTAGAATTCACGGAATCCAAAGAAATTTACACAGTTAAAATAACATGGTCTCCTAAGCCCCGCCTGTCATTTCGCGATAAAATCTAAAATGCTCGCAAAGCATTTCTCGAGGTGTCTCCTGTAGTATGATGATGATTTTTGAGTACTTATGCCTTGTACTTAGCCTCGTGAAGTTTCAAGTGTTACAGGCGAAGCATTGTGCTGAAAGCTATTATTTTTATCGAAAATCTAGTTTAGAAGTTAGCTCGTGGTTAAATAGTACCTATTTGCTACTAAACACAGATATCCAAATATTCTGCAAACTTATTATCGTTGCGGAATAATTCGAAGCACCACAAAATAATTATGTACTGTTTACAATGTAAGTAGGTACGTACAACTTCTAACACCTTTTCACTTTACCTTTCATAGTATTACCGCTCATTTATTTAGTCTGTCTTGTAAATACAGCCAGCTAATTACAGTTTTACTACGATAGTAAACTTTCATAGGGAAAGTTATTATATGATACAACTATTTAAGACATTCTTCCTTATTGAAAAAGCTTGCATCATCGACAACAAAGAGTAATTAATTTTACTCTATGGTCGATCTTTAATGTCATATTTCCCGCCTTTTGTTTGCTTGGAAAATAATTAATAAATAATTATTTCTGAAAAAATAAACACGAGCTTAGTATGAGGCATGCATCATAGTATTATTATTATAAACGGGTAGATAATGATGAAGACCCATGTGAATTTGTATGTGTTATTACAAAAAAGAACAAAAACGACACAGAGGTTAGAATTGTTCAGCATCTCTCTAGTCAAAGTAAACAATAAAACTATTATAAGCTTTAAAAATATACGGATTATCAATTTTGATTAATAATAATTACAAGTTATGGGTTGATAATGAATAGTAACGTAATCTCTCTCTACGATCGACTCCAAGTTCACATTTTATATTAATCCTTTAACATGGCCGTAACTCACTCCGATAACTTTCTCTAATTACAGAGTCACCCAGACCTTAAACACACTTGATTGTAGATTATTATCTTCAAAATATTGTTATGACTCCTGTACAAGGATCATTACGGACAGACAGACAGATTATTAACTTTTATTAGACAGTATTTGATGAGCTGCTTCCAAAATAGGTCAGTTGTCTATTTTGACAGATAATGAGTTAGTAATTATACTTCCTACAGCCAAATTATCGACTTTAAAGACCAGCACATCGACATACTCTAATTTAGACAACAGATTCTCAACTTTACCCCTTTATGATAAAGTTGAAAGTGTATTAAAGATTTCATAGATTGGTGTTGGTTGATCTATTGGCATGTGGACGGCTAATTCTTATCTATTACAGTAGGTGTGTCTTCAATGTAACGTCCCCGTTTAATAAGGACCCCGGGCCCCCATATCTCAGGGTCGGGACAGGGCTCCGAGCGTCTTGTGCGGCCCACACCGACAATTTAGGTAATTTATAGTAACCAGTACTGTTTAGATTTATGGGAATGGAAAGCTGTCGAGGCTTCTAATGAGAGATTTAAAAATAACTGCGTTTCTCCTCAGTGCAAGTGAAGGCAGGACTCCCTTAGGGGTCAAACGAGATTGGATTTATTAGAGTAACTTGTAGCGTATATAGTTATCTATGTCTTTAGATTCTCACATTTATCTCTTGAGTAGTAAGTATATTCTATGTTGACACAAAAGTTGTCTTTTTTATGGAATAAGCTGGTAAACGAGCAGTCGGATCAGCTGGTTGTAAGCAGTCGGCGTTGCCCATGGACACCCGAAACACCAGAGGTGTTACAAGTGCGTTACCGGCGAAAAAAAAAAACACAATGCAAGTGTTGTTCAAAATCCCGCTTTAACTTAATCCCGCTTAATTAACTAATGTTGTGAACATATCATTCTAGGAGAATTCCATTATCAGCAGGGAGTATATTAAATAAATAATATATTTGTATTGTAACTTTCGTAAGACATACTAAATAAATTAGTTTCGTAAATCGACTAGTTTCAAGCCATGCTAGAGGCTCATATTGAAATGAAATGCTGCTCATGAATATGAGCCTCTAGCATGGCTTGAAACTAGTCGAATTCCTCGTCAAGTTACTACGTGAGTAAGCCGAAAACATAATAATTTAAATAAATAATACTATCAAAACTAATTAAACAAAGTGTTAACAAACAACCAGAGCGTAATGATCAACCTGACATAACACTCAACAATAGATATCTAATAGTAGATATTTAAATATCACAAGTTCAAACTAAGTACAAGTTCGATGGTATTGGAGTCAAGGCAGCGACTATCGCATAGTATCTAAGTGTAGATTCCCACGATACTTGATACAACTATTAATTAATTCAGCCCATTGAATAAATGGTGTACCTAAAGTAAATGTAATTTGCATTGTAATACACATACAATATGAAAGTACCTACTACTAATTTAAATATTGGTTGTAAGGTTTGTTCGGGTTGCTTGACTTATTTCGAACCACTCTAGAGCCCTTATTATAAGCTCCGTATCTATAAAAACTTATTAATACAATATTATATTAGTATAAAAATATTGTATCTTGTACTGGTGGTGTGGTGAGTACAGAAACCTGATGAAATAACACAACATTAGAAAAACGAAAATTTGCAATGGATCGGTATCCAGCCTTCCGTACTTACGGCCACTGCACCAACGAGGTGCAATAAACAAACAATTAACAAACAGTTACTCGGTATGAATAATATGAATATGTAACAGACAACAGTGGTTTAGTTTAATCAGCTCATGACACAGATAGCCGGCAACAATACTATAACGTGAATCAAAGCATATCCGCGTGCAATGCTGGGAACCGCGAGTTTATTCAATAAAGTAATAAGTATTAAAATCATTTGTTCTAATACCATTAGGTTTTTATAATAATGATCGTGAGACATACTGAATTACATACAGCATACTATTACGCCTTTTATGCGTGAAGAGGTTTTTTTTTTATTTTTTTAAGGGGGGAAAATCATCGAATGGATCCTCCCGCCTGGGTGAGGCGGGAGGGAGTTTCAGACTCTTACTGACTAAAAACCACCCCGTTCCTTCTCCTGCACGTCGAGCCGGAGCCCCGGTTACCCGTTAGGTTCTCCGCGACTAAATGCGTGAAGAGGTAGGCAGAGGTGTACATTACGGCACTTAATGTCACTGTAGAATGTAACACCCACTTTTTACTTTTTACTATTTATGTTATGAGTCCCATGTAAGAGGGGTAAGCCTATAATATACCAGGCACAACTTCAGCTGACGTGCAACTACTGAGATTAAAAAAAAACAATAATACTTTGCTCAACCCGAGCATCGAACCCGGGACCCTTTATAGACTTTATAGCCTTAGTCATATTCATATACATACTGAAATAACTAAACATTACCTACGTGTTACTTACAAAAATATACTGAGAAAAGATCTACTAGTTTCGAGTCACAAAGGAACTCTTTCTAATGATCTTCATTGATTAATTGTTTTGGAATCATCTCTTAGTATGGAGGTTTCATTAATTGATTTAATATAATTGTGACTGCCAACAATGAGCTTTGGCTCGTAACGGGACAATTTTGGATATGAAAAGTGTCATCGGGAATAAAGTCAGAAATATCATGGTGTCTGGTCTGGCTTCGTGCTTGATGTGAATCTTACGTGTGTGTTTCGGCTTACTCACGTAATTATTTGACGAGGAACTCGACTAGTTTCAAGCCATGCTAGAGGCTCATATTCGCGAGCAGCATTCCGCGAGCCGCGACACGGCGACTGTCGCGCTGCTACTGAATAATTAATTTAGTATGTCCACGAAAGTTATAATATTGAATCTTACTATTGCAATAAGTATGTACTTATTTATGCACCAAACAGAATGTACTGTCTATTTTAATGATTTCTGTATTTATAGGAGTGAGATGTCTCTTATTGTTCCATACATATTGAAGGCAAGAGTGCGATGTGTTTAGTTTTCTCGCGGACACGTCACGGATGCGTCCGGCCCCACTTTCTTTATGATAATCTGCGCATGCGCAGTAAACAGACAAACAGATGAACACTCTACTATACATGACTCGTGTCACCTCAAGGGTTACAGTTTAATATTGGTTTTATGGGAAAATCGACTTAGCTTTCTCTTTGTTATCGTTTCTAGAGAAAATTTTAGAGATGTGTGGGTGGAAGTATTATAATGGGTGTCAAGTTTAACATAACTTATTTAAAGTTATATGAAATATCCGATCGTGCATTCTCATTCTCATTCTTCAAATCTATGAAATACCAAGTTACGTGTGTCTATATTAACTTATCAACATACTTTCTAATGTTAACTGGGTATCGGAAAGAAGTCATAACTTTTTTAGTCTTATTTCAGGAAAACTTTAACCAAAGCCATCATACTTTACAAGCCTTTTTATCCCTGAAGCGGTAGGCAGAGTTGCACATTATACGGCATTTAATGCCACTGTACAATGTAACATCTACTTTTCACTATTTATGTTATGAATCCCATGTAATAGGGGGTGAGCTTATTGCCATATAAGTACTGAGCACAATTCCAGACTCCGTGCTACTACTGAGATTTTTTTAGAAAATCTAATAATACTTTACCCGACCCGGGAATCGAACCCGAGACCCCATGCCCGGCAGTCGCACTTGCGACCACACGGCCAACGAGGCAGTCTTTACACGTAAGTACGTACTTTAAACAAACTTCCTGTTAAATATCAGTAAAGATAATCACAATATAAATAAAATAATATTAATAACTCGTGCATTATTTCGCTCTACAACTCCTACTGCACTTCGCTTCACACGCGTGGATCTCTTCCTTGGATCTCTGGAATTCTCGAGATCCCTGATACATACACGTTTCTCATGTAATAACTAGCCTAGTTGGAGACTGGAAAATTATTTAGCCATAGACTGCTTAGAAA